CAAACAAATACAGCTGAATAAAAATCTCACCTAGGAAATTCATCATCATATTAGAAAAATGAATGACACAAGCATATGTCAAAATTAAAGACTACACTGAAGTGTATGAACAAGTGCGTGATACATCCCCTGATTAGCCAGAATGAACAACTTTAATACCAAACTTATATTTACTGAATACAAACCTACTGTTTTTAACAGTAGTGCAAGCCAACAAAATAGGAAACTAATTAAGCAGCGCAATCACAAAAGAAGTTTAAAACAGATTATTCAAATTTTGAGGCTTCAGCTGATCAATTTAAAACCATGATTAAAACCAAGCAAGTAGTTTTCAAACCATCTGACTAAAATGTCAGGTTTTCTGTTTATTATCTCTGCGTGAACCATTTTCCTTCCAGAACACCACCTTAACCTCCAAACAACCACTTCCAGTACTACAAACCCAAGACAAAGATTTCATATGAGGAGAAAGCAGAACAATATACTTCCAAGCATACCAACCTCATTGTCACTGAAGTTTTAAAAGATACAATCACAAAAGAAACAGGAACACATGTAAGCTCAGCAATTTGTCCTAAAAATGAACAAACACAAAATAATCCATAACAAGCTGGACTGAACTCAGAACCCTGGAAGCATGTTCCAGTCTGTTTATTATTCTCAAGCTCAGGAAAAACCTTCACATGGTCAATTCAGGGTTTTGCGTTCAGCAATACCACTCACAGCTCTTAGGAAAGCTCTAAGACCAGTAACTCAATCCAGCACAGTTTGTTGTCTCATGATCTTATGGGTTTTTGTCACACCACAGATCTTAAACCCCTTAAAATGACAAAAAGGGGTCCAAGAACAAAACATATATAACTCCAAGCCACTGCACTAACACAGTCTCATTTCCTCATACATATGACTTGTGGTTGGGGTTGTTATAATAAAACGCAGACTATGATCAAGGCTTCTTACAGATGCAGTATGACCTCATTCTCTTCCATATGCATTTTTCTAAGATCTAAAACAACCAAGCTCACACTGCAGCCTTTTGATACATAGGATGTCTTTTCTGAAGTTAAAAAAACCCAAAACAAAACAAAAACCAAACAAACAAAAAACAAAACAAATCACCAAAAACTTTTATAAACAAATTTACAAGGGATTCACCTCCAATTAGTCTACAGCCTCTTCTCACAGTCACTAGAGAGAAGGCTGTATTGTACAATACCATGCACTTCATCCACGTCAGATGCCATTTGAAGAGGTGATGAATCACCCCAGAACAGCCAGCTTCTGACTGTACAGAGAGTTCAGACTGAAGCTGCACAAATTAACCCACCCCAACCTGCAAATGGCCAATAATACAAAAATTACTCCAGGATAGACTGGGAGAAAAGGAGAAAAATACAGAAAAATAGGCAGTGGGACATTTAAAACTTTAACTCACTAGAAACCCATTTGAAAACTAACTACCATTTGCAATCCCACGTCATTGCTGTACAGATTTAGATAGCTTCCTATTTCCAGGCTACCCCACTCCAAGTAGAGGAAGTCCACTGCCTGGCCTGGCAGCTGGTCTGGCAGACACCGGGAGCTCCTCAGCACAGAGCTGAGTCACCGCGCAGCAGCTCTGATGCCACACGTCCATGACCATAAGGCAAAGTCCCTCTCAGTCATTACAAACATAAGACCCACAGGTCACGTGAACCCTGCCTGAGCCTCCATCACTCAGGCTGGCAACACCTGACTCAGTTAATGCAGGTCTCGTCATGCTCTCAGGCAGCACAGAAAACATTGCAACATCATAGAAACCTCTTTCTTGGAACTTAGGTATGCTGAGGCCCTGGCTAGAGCTACACTGTCCTTCGCAAAGCTTAAGTAGTGACCTACCCTACTACAAGGAAGATTTACTCACTGGGAACAGAGAGAGATCTCTGCAGGGTTTCTGCAGCGAGCAGGGCCAGAGGGAAACCAGTGGGCTCTGACAGTTCTACATGTTTGCTTGTTTCAAATGGACAACACCAGGTAACAAAGTTACAACATGTCCCAAGTGAATTAGAAGCAAAGTTTATTTACTCAATACTGTTTTATGCAACACAGAGAGCTGCTTGCATCAGAGATTACCTGCAGTACTGTGAACTGAGCAGAGGTTTTGAGGAGGGATTAACTTCACGGAGGATGGGGAAGAAGGAGACAAGTACGAACCAACCACCTATTAACTAACCATAGATGGTAAAATTAGTCATAGTGAAAAACCAAACTGTTGTCAGAGCTTCACTCACAATGCTCACAGAACTTCTCACAATATGGGGATTTAGAAACAGGACAGGAAGCAGCAGTCAGCTGAAAAACTGGAAGAGCCTTGCCCTCTCTGCCATTTCTCCTGTGCCTGTCCCCACATTTATAAAGAATTTTAATGTTTACTTCTTGATACTCACTTTGAGTGGAAGTCTACTGAGCAAGGCAAGCAAGAAATTTTTTCCCTGTTCAGCACCTGCAGTTCAATCATGAGGGTGGAAATCCATATTGCTTCTTACCATAATATGAACTTACTATATACTCTGGACCTTCAGAGGAAGACTCCAGAGATTTAGCTCAATATCCAACCTTCAGTGCTGTGGAGGTTAAAAGGTGCTCTAAAGAAGCAAACTCGTTTTTGCTGATTCACATTTCATTTCTACCACTGACTTCATCTATGCAGCTCCTCCCAGTGTATCTCACATCTTTCTTGTTACATTTTTGTTCGTTTCCAACATTAAGAGTGCCAGCATTAAAAAAAATAAGCCTTTGATTTGACTTTTCTCTCTTCTGTGACGTTTCCAGCCTAATCCCCAGTGCTTGAGAACCTACACTGCCATTCTGTATACAGGTACAACACAGCAGTATTAACTACACAAAACCAAGGTAGTTTCAAGTTACTGCTATGAGGTGATACAAAGTTCTAGTGTTCAACTAATGCTGGATGAACAGGGATATTCTATTAAACCAACTGCTTTCTCCCATTTCTGAAAACGTGAATAAGAAATTAAGCAGGAAACCTAACTTCTGCCTTGGACTATAGCTTTTCTGGATTTTTGCCTACATGACCCCTGCAAAAATTTTACTACCAGTGACATTCAAGAGCATCTTTAAAGCAGATTTAAAGCAGGTTTCATCTTTAAAGAAGGTTTCAGATTGCATAAGTAACCTATAGTACAACCAAAGTCAATAATATGGTATGGATCAACATAATTTCTGGAGAGACACCAAACTAAAAAGAAATAAGAAAAATCTGTAGCATGAAGTATATATGAATTTTAAATAATTCAACACTGTGTTGTTACTTGCCCTGCAGAGGTAGCCCAGAAACACATTTTAAAATAAAAATTTAAATCTACACTGCTATTGCCATAGCTACCTGTACAAAATTCTAACATAAGGAATTATTTCTTTAAGACTGGGAGGCTGAGCAAACGGCATGAGGGAACAATGAGTGTCCTCTCCAGACTCAGCTGGACAAGCTCCACTCTGCTGCACTTTTCTCTGCCAGAAGCTTTGGTAGAATACTGAGTGACTTACTATACCCTTGACATCCTGGCTAATCTGAAAATAATCATCATGGAGAAAGAATAAAGACTGTGGAACAGTGACAGCACAGAGGTTGCTCTGCAACGCTCCACACAGTTTATAGGAGCAACACAGTATTTACATTCCATGCTAAATGACATAGGGAAAAAACAAAAAAGGTGCAACTTGATGCTCTTGATGCAAACATCTCCACATCTTCATATGCAAGTTAGGCAGTCATTACAATACAAGAGGTCTTATATGAACGGTGTTATTCCATCAGTTTCCACACACCCCTTATCATTACACTCACACCTCACCAAGGGTCTTATCCAGTTCCCAGTGAGGACAGTGCATCTCCTTCAGACAGGAGTGCACCAGCAGCTGCTCTCAAATACACTGCTAAGAATGCACTGGCAGTTACTCGCTCCTCTGAACCATGCAAGTGTGAGCATGAGTTACAGGTAAATTAGTCCTGCTCCACAAAAGCTCATTAATGAAGCAGATTCAATCAGTACCACAGAAAACAAAAATCAAAGCAAGCAAAGCAGCACAAGCAGGGTTTCAAAAAAGCAGAATGACACTGAGATCACGAAACACTCAAATTATTATCAGTAATACTAGCAGCCCAATCAAACAGTATTTTTGGTTGATTTGGTTTCACTATTTTACATACCAGTTGAAGGTATCTGATCATCAGAGTTCTCATTCACCTAATTAGCTGGTGGACATGCTGAAAAGAGTAGAAAGCAGTAGATAGGTAGCAGTACTTGAGCAACATTTACAAAGGAACTGAAAGCAAATGAAGGAGAAGATTACTGATCTTTTTCTCCCCCCCAAGTCAAAAACTGACTAGGGTCCTCCTCTCCCCAACTCAAAAAGGAAATGCAATTTCACTACCCGTAGAGGTAGTTTTATTTAGAATCTCTCAAACAGTGCAATGTCTGTAGAGTTACAAGGGGACGGAGAGACTCCTGTTTGTACATAAGGTCTAATACTGTGTGACATGCATTGCAAAAATATACTACCTACTTTGAAAGCACATATTCTGTTAGTCCAAAGTTTAAAACTTGGAGGCATTGTCCTTGCTTAATTCACATAAATCACTGAAATTTACAAGTAAATGAACTCTTTGTAAGATAAAGTCCAGGCCCCAATTCTGCCAAATGCTTGATTTAGATTTTCCCAAAATGGGCACACAAGCTAAAGCATGTTGCTGACTTACAGCCAAGAGTTATCATAAAATTTCCAATTTCAAGCTTTCCTTTACAAGCCAGCCAAGTTTAAAAACCATGGACTAAAATTCCATAATGCCTTTAAGTTTAAACTACACAGATCATATCCAGTAGGATTTTCTATAGCATACATCTTTGCCCTAACTCTGCTCCAATCAAATCACTTGAAGAAATATCTTCAACTTCACCCTAAAACCAGCATGTTTCAAGTACACATACATGGTCCTTTACCTTTAATAACAAAGGCTTCAGTGATCAAACGCAGCATGTACAGAGGTTCATCTTTGGTTGAGAGGTCATCAATTCCTGCTCTCGCATACATGCTGATGGCATCTCTGTAGCATCCCTCCACATAATAAAGCTTTCCTAGGATCAGCATAGCTTCAGTCATATACTTAGGCTGAAACAGAGCAGGGAGAGAAAGAGTGTTTATACGATAAAATAGCAGACAGCAAAAATTAGGTACTCCAGAACAAATTAAGCACATTCACAATGCTTTCCTCTCACAACTGCTAGCTCCACACATCAGAGTAGGAAGGATTTAAGCGTCTAGAGATCTTAGGGCTGTGCTCATGATAGCAGCAGGTAACAAAGGTCAGGCAACCACTTTGGAGCTCCATTTACAAACACACAGTTCCAAGTCACGTCTTTGGTTTTGATCTGTGGCTGGTGAATCGATGGACATCACATAAAAGGGTGGCATTGTCAGAACTACCTGCACACACACAAAGAAAACCTCCTGCTTTTAAACTAAGCAGAAAGCATGACTTTTTAGGCAAGTGCTCCCCTCTCCTCTGTATATTTAATTAAACAGCGAGAAAGCTCCCCAGTTTTCTTAAGCTGTCAAAGAATCTTCACGCAACAGTAGAAAAAACAGAAGGCACATCCACTACTTCTAAGATTTGTTTCCTTGAAGGACTGAAAACACATCTAACAAAAACCTCAGTAAAATACATCTGTTCAGACCCTTTGGAAAGCATGAAAAGGTTCCTAAGCCTTCCTACCCCTTTTTTAACACGTCATGAACACGAGGTCAATGCTGCATGAGCGGCTAAGTCACTGTTAACAAAGAAACAGTAATGGCAATTCAGGCAGCCAAACTAAACATGAAGACCTGGAAGAATTCAGTAGTTCTGGTCGTTAATGGGGCTAAACTAGAAAGAGGGTTGGACAGACTCCCCTTCCTCACTAGCTCCAATTTACTTCTAAATAGGTTGACTTTCAGGAAGATAAGAAAAAGGAACTCCTCCAGAAAAGTGACTGCACAGTTTCTCCTTGGAAATTAACATGTTAAAAGTATAATATACATTTCCAAGCTAACTAGCCTGTCAATTTTGAACCAAAAGTAATACAAGTCTAGAACAGACCTGTAATTCATTTACTTCTAAACCCGGTTATGAAACTGTGTGTCCAAGGACAGCAAAACAGCAGCAGACATTGAGGCACAGTATTAAAACACTCCTGAAGCTCTGCAATTGAGCTGACAAGCAGCCATCAACCATGAACTCAGACCACAAAATAAAATAAAAGCATAACTTCTCTGGCAGAGACTGAAAGTAGTGCAAGGCTGTAATCCTGGACTCACAACACAACCCTAAATTCATGACAGCAACTTGCAGCACATTCTTCTCTGATCTGGAGCTGAATAGGTATACACAGCTCCCTCAGATCAGGAATAGCAGTAGGTCATGATATGTGGCCACACTCCCCACCCCAGAGAAATCCTAAATATTTATCCTGGTTCTTTCTAATGAAAAAAAAAAGAACAGGATATGTACTATTTGTTTGCATATGAAAAAGCAAGTCTCACAACAGAAGATACTGCCAAGAGGAATTAGCAGTCCCTCAGTAATGCCTACAATACAGCACTGTACATACAGGGACACGAACAGGCAACAATCACACCCTGTATCAGACTAATATGAAAGAAACATCCAGTTGGCTGGAATTATGATGACAGAGCCCACTTACTCTTAGTTTTCCTCTGCTTAAGATATTGGTCAGATACTGTTTAGCTTCACTCAGTTTTGGTTCATTCTTCTCTGTCAGTGGAATGGAGTCCTTCAGTTTGGCAAAGTTTTCCTTCAAGCATTCTTCCAGCAGAACCTCTGCTAGCAGCATACTCCCGTGGTCCTCTGAAAGCACACACCAAACAACAAGAAACATTGCTTAGTGCTGTAGATGATAAACAGAATTACAAAAAAAAACAACGCACCTTTGAGACACATAAAGGGCAACTCAAATGAGGGAAGAAGGAAGAAATGGCAGACACACAAAAAAAGTTCCATTAACTTCTATCTATTGGAAACAGTATGTTGCCTAAGAAAAAATGAAACTACACTTCCTTGTAACTTGAAGATTTTTCCCTAAAGAATCCTTTAATTTTGGCAGCACCATTCATTCTTGCATTGCCACTAATATAACAGTTCAGAATTTTCAGCACAAAACTCACTTTCAAAAGAGTAAGACCAATCTTCGCGAACACATCAGTGCATGCTTTAGATCTACAAATGTACAAGCATGAAATGAATGCTTTGGACTATACGGAAGCTATGAATTTCACTGCAAAACAGTAAGAAATTTACCTGAAAGTTCACAGAAAAAGACAATTTAGATACTAAAGACACACAAGGCTTGATCCTCTGCCACAACTAACATGCCACATTCTTTCTACATTAAAATCCATTCCTGTTCACAGTTCTACAGAAGAGAAACTCAAACACAAGCAGCAGCACTGGATACAGCATGAAGCATCATGAAAAGTGGCAATCATATGCTGAAAAGAAAAAAGTTTCATCTGTCAGAGCACTTTGATTTCTTGCATGACGGGCCCAGTTCTGCAGTTACCTTATTCATAAAAGTAGTACCTCAGTCAGTGGACTACTGGGTCAAGCACGGTAACAAACTCTTTGTATATCAAAGAGCCAAGCCCTACATTTCATATATACTCCACATTTCAAAGTCTGGATTTCTAGAATATGGGAAACATGACAGTGTACCTATTTCCATATTTTCAGGCCATGGGACAATTTATCACCACTTTCCACCTATACACTACATACAGCATTAATAATCAACTCTGAGTGTGGGAGTGGTGGTGGTTTAGGTTTTTTTGTTGTTGTGGCCTATGTGTTCAGCTGCATATCAAATTATAATGATAGCTCTTCCTGCTCATTTGCAGGTCTGCAACTAACTCACATAAACAAAGTACAGGTACATAAAATGGGAAGCATAAATGCTCAAGTATATTCCCCCCTAAACTTGCATGCAATAATTCCTACACACTAAAGACCTTTCAGGTAGTCATTAATGTCTTAAAACAAACTTAAGGACATAGGTAAGACTATGTACAATTAAGAAATAAATACACACAATCTCACAATGCAAACAGTACTATTAAAAAAATCTAATCCAGGCAGACAATGGTTTCTGGAAGCATAAAACTGTACCCGGTCCCTTGCTGAAAGAAAAGTTCTGCAGCAATAACAAAGCATTACTCTTTCATAACCAGCAAGTTATGATGACATAGTAGCAAATTAACAAATCATGTTTTTACAGCAATCATACTGTTGTTATGCCTCTTAATTACAAGGGAAGAAACTACTATGAACTCTTCAACTATTAATGGCCCTAAACTGCAGAGAGATCTCTGCACCTGGGAAGCGCTGCTGAAACGCGACTGAAGTTCAAAGGCTGGCCCTGTGGTTCTCAGCACAGGGTTCGACCTGCATCATCCATCACTTGGAAAGCCTCACAAATAAATACGTATTAAGCTACCAACATCTCCCCCACCATGCTTCCCACCGTGAAGTTTAAGGAACCGCTGGCAAGCTTCAGTTAACTCTAGGGCCACATACTAGGAACACTCCTCTACAGAAGGGCTTTATTCATAGATGTAGCTCCTGTGATTTCAGTGGCAGAACCCTTTGTACCAGTGCCACGGGCAGGATCAGGTCCTCTTTGCAACTTGCTGACCACAAACACAGATTTTTACATTTCCAAGTTAGGCTGCCTCGCTTATTGCAAGCGATTTCATTTTACAAAAGAAGCAAAGTAGTGTGTTGTAACAGAGAGAAAAAAAAAGAATACATTTGCCATTTATGAAACCTGTTTTACATGTGAAAAGGTACTTGGACGAGCCCAAGCCTTTTAAATAAAGCAAGGCCCTTCAGAAATGGAGGGAGATAACACAAGGGCATCCAGAACAGGGTTGGGCAGGGGGCAAGAGGGAAGGAGCACGACACGTATGGAGAAGCTGCAGACGGACATTTCCAAACGGGGCAGGTTTTGGTGGGTGGCCCGGCCGGGCTGGTCGCATCAAGGGCCGGCTCGGAGCGGGGCAGCCGCCACCTGCGGCCGGTGCTGACCGCGGCGGGGGCGGCATCCCGAGCGCTCGACAGCCGCTCCTCGCTGCCCGAAGGGCTCGGCAGCGCTGACATGAAGAGGAAGCGCGGTGTGATCTTCCCGAGCGCCGCTTCCAGGGTTCCCGCCGCCTCTCCCCGGCATCGCTCCTTCTCTCCCGCTGCGGAGCCGGGGCGCTGACACGGGACACCGGGCGACACCCCGCACGTCAGCGCTCCCCAACCCGCTCCCGCAACCCCGGGAGCCGCGGGGCAGCCGCAGCTCCCGCCCACGCCAACCCGCCGGGCCGGCGCTGCCGAGCCCGGGCGGCGGCACGGAGCGACCAGCCGGCCCCGCCGCCGCCTCGCGCCCGGGCGGGTCGGTACCGGCGGCCGCCCCGCTCTCCCCCCGCCGCCGCCGCCGCCGCTTACCCGCGTCCTGCGCGTCCTTCGCCGCCTTCGCCTTGCGCGGGGGCCGCACCGACGGCGGCAGTAGCTGCTGGGCGAGGAGCCGGAGCCGCCCCCAGAGCCCCTCCGCTCGGCACCGCTCGATCTCCGCCTCCAGCTTCACGTGCGAGTGCGAAACCTTGGCCGCCATCTTAGCGCCGGCACGGACCCGCCCCGCCCCGGCCCGCGGGGTGTCCCCGGCGGCAGCACCCGGGAGGCGCCGGCGGGGCCGCGGATCCGCCAGGTGCCGGGGGGCGGGAACAGGCGGGACGGCGCCCTGCCCGAGGGCTGCGGCCGGGGACGGCGCGTCTAACACGGCCGCCACTCCCTGACACCTCTCGCCTGACGCCCGGTGCGCGAAGCCGCGTCCAGCCGGGCGGGCGCTGTCCGGGCGTTGCGGAGGTGGCCCCGCGCTCCCTGCAACGCGCGAGAAGGGCCGGGGGTGCCGCTCCCCCACCGCGGCCCTCGGGAGTCTCCTAAACCCCGGGACTCCCTGCCGGCTGCGCCCCACGGCCACCGCCCCCTCCTGCAACTTCGGCACAGAACCCCCGGCTGGTGCGGGAACGAGCCGAAAGCCCGCCCGGTTGCCCGGGCCCGGGGTTTGCTCGGGGGTTGTGACCTCGGGAGGCCAAAGCGGCGGCTGCGTAGGCGTCAAGCATGGGAACAACGAGACCTGGGGCGTTCGGTGCGAAGGGAAACGCAGAGCACACACAGTTTATAAACCACAGCGGCCCCCGGCGATAGGGTGCGGGGGTTCCCCAAAGGAACAGCGGGGTGAGGAGCCCGCAGTCCTTTGTGGACGAGGCTGTTGAGGGGTTGGGGGGGAAGTGCCTGGAGCAGGAGTGGCCGAGGACAGCCCTAGGAGAAGGACACACTGCCCCACTCCCTCTCGGCTGTGCCTAGGGTAGGGCATTGTTGGTGGGATCCCTGCAGTGTGCCCTTTAGAAGGGTGTTCTCTACATATGGGGCCAGAGTGGCCGAGGCCCCGCAGCACTCGCACAGAATCCCAGAATGGGTGAGGGTGGAAGCCACCACAGTGGAACATCTGCTCCAGCCTCCCTGCTCAAGCACCGTCATCCTAGAGCCGATAGCACAGGATTGCATCCAGATAGTTCTTGAACATCTCCAGTGAGGGAGACTTCACAGCCTCTGTGGACAACCTGTTGCCCCCCACACAGAAAAGAAGTTTTTCTTCATATTCAGCTGAAACTTCCTGTGCATGAGTTTCTGCCTATTGGCTCTTGTCCTATTGCTCAGCACCACCAAGAAGAGCCTGGCTCAATCCTCCCTCCCTTTAGATAGTTATAGATACCGATGGTGTCCCCTCTTCTCGAGGGCTGTGTCGTTTCTTCTCGAGGCTGAACAGGCCTATCTCCATCAGCTTTTCCTCATAAGAGAGATGCTCCAGTCTCTTAATCCTCTTGGTTGCCCTCTGCTGGACCTGCTCCAGGAGCTCCATGTCTCTGTGCACTGAGGAGCCCAGAACTGAACACAAAACTCCAGATGTGATCTTACTAGGGCTGAGTAGAGGGGCAGGATCAACTCGCTTAACCGGCTGGCAATACTCTTCCTGATGCACCCCCGGATCCCACTGGCTTTCTTGTCCCCAAGGACACGCTGCCGGCTCGTTGCCCTCCGGGACCCCCAGACCCTTCCCGCGCACACGCGGTGGGCGGAGCCCCGCCGCACCTGCGCCGCCGCGAGGGCTCCACGTGGAGCTCCGCGAGCGGTGACGTCGGCCCGCGGGGCGGAACGACGCAGCCAATGGGAGGGGGCAGGGGCGGGGCGTGCGCCGGGTCAGGGGTGATCCGGGGATGGTGTCCCGGGAATGGTGTCCTGCCTGCACCCGTCCCGGAGCCCGCGTCACGGCCCAGACCCGCCCGACGGTGCGTAGCTTGGCGGCGGCGGGGCCTCTCCGCCCGCCCGGGCAGCCGGTACTGGAGGGCGGTGTGCTGGAGCCTGGGCGGGGGCGGCCGCCCCGGCCCCGGCCCCGTCCCGTTGCAGGGGGGGGGCTTTCTCGGAGGGTCCAGCCGGGTCGGGAGCCGGGGGTGGGAGGCTGCTGGCGGCCAGCGCTGTGCCGGGGAAACCGGGGGTCGCTCCAGCTGGGGCTGGAGCACAGAGGGACCGAACCCCCTAGACCGCTCCTGGGCTCCCCTGGCCTCGCTGGAGCGCTGTATCCTGTCACTTCCCCGCGAAGGGAGCACATACATGGCTGCATGAGGTTTTCCAAGCTGTACGTTCCTTAGGGCATGCAGTCTCAATAGAGATACAAATTAGATGCGGCCGCTTCGAGCAAAGGTAAGCGACCTTTGCTCCCATGGCTGTGGGGCAGGTCTGCCTGAGCCTGGCGTGGTTGGTTTGTCTAGATGGTACATGAAAACACAACCGCACCTGAGGAGTGCACATCTGCTATGTGGGGGAAAAAAAAGTCATCTGAAAATTACTGCATAATAGTGCATGATTCTGTGAAATAGGGACCCTCACAGAAATCCTTAATTGGAGCTCCCTGGTTTTCTGCTTCCCAAGGGCTTGAAATGAATAGAGTTCTTCTATTCTAAAACTCAGTGGGCTTGATTTTAAGTACTTGGTAAATCTGCTGAAAGTAGATCACAGTTTTCATCTGTTTTTTTTTGGTGGGGGATGTTTTCCTTTTTGTAGGAGATCACAATGGCCCAAAGGTTGTTTAGATCATATTTGCTGTTCTGCTTTCTGGCTGCATTCTTCATCTCTGCCCTTGCTGAGGAACACGTAGGAGAGAGTCAACATGCAAATATTCGCCTCGATAAGAATTTGGTACAAGATAAAGAGTATGTGTTCCATGTTCTAAAAACGTAAACTTTACTTCTTAATGATTTTCTTATCTCTGAAGTCTTGTCATGTTGGACTTAAGCCTAGGGCACCCTGTTTCCTCAGAATGTTGTATGACTAGCTAAAGCCAGATATGAGACGTGCTTGCTTGATAAATTTGTAGAGATATGAGACCTAGAAAGGTCTCTTTGGAACCTTTAGTCCTACTCATACTATAAAGAATTTCTTACAGAGGTCCTGCTTACCCAGATCAGCATACTTTAGACAAAATCATATTCTTAACAGGTAGAGTTGGAGGGTTTTTTCTCATTTTCTTCTTCATACATGCAGAACAGTTCTAGCAGTAAATAAAACTCCCTAGAACACTTCATGGTTGACTGGGAAAGGTCTTTCTCCAGCTCCTGTGCTTTGGAAGAAAGCCAAAAGGAGATTTTGGGCACTGCTTCCATTGTTTTGATAGCTTGCTAAGTAGGCCAGAAGAAACAGAAATAGCTGTCTAAGGTGTTAGAGGCCACTACAGCATCTGCAACAAACAACCTCTGTGTCCCCTTCATCTTAATATCAAACTGTAGCTTTTAGTTATCCAGGGTGCTTTTAGAAGAATAATATTCGATCAAAGACTAAATTTGATGTAAACAGAGCATGAAATATTAACTGACAGAAATGTTGTAGATTTTGTTTGTCTTTGGGTTTTTTTTGTTTTCTTAGGCACATCATGGAACACTTGGAAGGTGTCATTGAGAAACCAGAAACTGAGATGTCTCCACAAGAGTTGCAGCTCCATTACTTCAAAATGCATGATTATGATGGCAATAATTTGTTAGATGGGTTAGAGCTTGCTACTGCTATATCACATGTCCACAAGGAGGTAGGTGTAATTTTGTAAGGGCATGTGTGTTTGGAAACTGTTCTGACTCTAAAAGCAACTTACAATAGAACGGAACAGTTGCAACACATCTTCAGTGCAGTTAAGAGTTTTGCCTGAAAAGGAGATATTTTTCTTTCCCCCGATAGTTCTAGTTGCATTTATAAATGTACCAGCTTTATCACAGCTTTTCGTGTCACATTGCGGTGTTCAAGAAGTTTCCATTGTAGTTTAAACTTTAGAATGAGGAAGGGCTGTAAAGTGAAAATGATTTTACAGAGGGCTTGTTTTGGTATGCAGGGATGGGGAGAAAGGGAAATTATCCAAAATGGGGCATGAGGGTTTATAGAAATAGTATGTGATATGACGCTGTTTTCAGTTTCAGACTGTCACTGCTGTGGATACACAGACTGTAGGAGATCTCTTGAATAAAGTTAGTATTAGAAGAACCAGTTATGGTCTGCCTCTTTCTAAACAAATTCTCGTTACTGCCACGAACGTTTGAAGACAAAGTAGGAAGATACAGCCATTAGGAAGACAATATGAACACATTATCTCATACTGATCTGGAAGTTACAATTCGGAATAGCATAACTTCCTGCATACACCTGTGGCAAAAAAATACCAATCCAAGAATAGAATAATGACTTGCTGTTTCTTGTGCAAAGGCACCGTCTTCTCATTTGTTTGTAAGGGGTGTTTTAAGAATTTTATTGGCTTTAAGCTACAGTGCTAGATTTTTTCACTGCTCCATTACTGTAAGGTGTTTCTGTATTTTATAGAAACTATAGTATCTGTACTACATGAAGATCCAAATAAGAATACATCTGTTAGATGATTATCCATCATTATACATTGTGCTATTCAGCTTTTGGAACTTTTGACTAAGAATATTAAATGCAAAGAGAGTGTTTTTTCTGAAGTCCAGAAAACTTGGACTTCATAGCTTCCACTTGATAAAAGTCGCTTATATTGATATAAATGTTTATATAAAACTTAGTGCCAAATTAGGCACCAAACATGAACGGCTTAACAAAAAATTAGTTGTCAGTAATCTGTTATATGTGCCAGTAGGTGGGAAAGACTACTAAACTGTTCCATGTGGTTTTGTTTTTGTAGGAAGGTGGTGAGCATACCCAAGCAATGAAAGAAGAAGAGCTGATTAATCTAATAGATGATGTCTTAAGAGATGATGATAAGAACAATGACGGATACATTGACTATGCAGAATTTGCAAAATCACTGGAATAAGGTTTTGCAGGGTGTTTCTCCTTCTAACCACATAGAAATGTGAACCAGTATAATGTGATTCTTTACTGTCTCATATCAACCTCTGTGCTGTGAGAAGGAGAGGTGTACCACTTCCAGCTGAATTTATTTAAAAGTTGTATTTGTTAAGAGACTGGTTAACTTGGAGTGAGAGCCATGTTTGACTAAACATAGCTACACATTTCAATCATGAAGCATGGAAGTGTCAACAGTACTCACGTAGGGTACAGCTGGCAAACTCCTAATTAGCTCTGTATGAATACTAAATAGAATCATTAGCATCTAAATTTCAAGTTTTCAGTCATTGGGTTATATAGTACTTATTTGCTTACAGCATCTTCGATTTAAAATTATAAAATATCTA